AATTGAAAGCCATTTTAACTCAAGCCCCAGTTCTAACCTAACCAAATCTAGAAAAGAACTTTACCGTGTTTAGTGATGCTTCGCTAAATAGGCTTGGTTGTGCTTTAATGCAAGGGGTAAAATGGTAGCTTGTGCATCCCATCAACTCAATCCTCACAAGTGAAATTACCCTACCCATGATTTAGAGCTTACAATAATAGTTTTTGCACTCAAATTTAGAGACACTACATTTTCAACAAGAAGTATCACACATTCACTGACCATAAAAGCCTCAAGTAACTACTTACACGGAACGAATTAAACTTGAGACACCATAGGTAGGTTGAGTTGTTAAAGGACTACGAATATATAATCGATTACGATCCAAGGAAAGCCAACGTTGTTGCTAATGCTTTGAGTAAGAAATCGATGATAGAGTTGAGTGCATTATTAACATGTTTAAGCTTATCTAGTGATGGTGGGTTATTATTTGAATTGCGAGTGGAAACTTGGCAAAGTTAAGATGTTACAGAGTTTTAACAGTCGCCTAAGGGCTCGCGTCAAGCAAGTCCACCGAGGCGAGGCCCTGGGTTTTAAGTTGCATGATGTAGACATGCTCTTATTTAAAGATAGTTTGTGTGTTCCTTTAAACGAGTAGTTACATGGTAAAATCCTTCATGAGGTGCATTGTAGTCCGCTCTTAGTCCATCTAGGTATTAACAAGATGTACAAAGAACTTCGACAGTTGTATTGGTGGTCGGGCATGATGAAATAACTGTTTGAGTTCGTTGCTAAGTGTTTAGTATGTCAGCAAGTCAATGCTGAACACCAAGTTCCTTAAGGGTTGCTTTATCCAATTCAAATATCGCAGTGGAAGTAGGAAATAGTGACTATGGATTTCGTGACAGGGTTACCTATAACTAGGTAGAGGTACGATGCAATTTGGGTTATAGTTGACTATCTAACCAAGACTGCTCACTTTCTGTCAGTTTGAATGAATTAAACCTTAGAGCGGTTAACACATTTGTATGTCTGCAAGATTGTGAGGTTGCATGGGGTACCAACATCGATCATTTCACTTCTCGATTCTGGAAAGCTCTCAGTGAATCTTTAGATACCAAAGTCTACTTTAGCACCACGTTCCATCCTCTGACAGACGACCATTCTGAGCGTGTATTCAAATTCTAGAAGACATACTTAGGTGCACCATCATATACCTTGGGGTAGTTAGGAGGACCATTTTTCGCTAGTAGAATTTCTTACAATGATAGCTACCATTCTAGTATTCAAATGTTATGTACGAAGCTTTATACAGACACACGTGTAGAACTCTATTTTGTTAGATAGAGCTTAGTAAGGGAAATATAGGGGGCCCAATTGATTAAAGAAACTAAAAAAAGGTCTGGTTGATTTAGAGTCAGTTAAAAAAACTTCTGAAAGGCAAAGGTCATATGCAGACTTGAAATGTAAGGATATCAAGTTTGTCGTGGGAGACAATGTTTTTCTCAAGGTGTCTTTATGGAAGAAACTACTCTAATTTAGGCGCAAAAGAAAGTTGACCCCGTGTTTCATAGGGTCATATGAGGTACTCGAGAGAGTTAGACCCGTAGCTTACCGTTTAGCCTTACCCCAAGAAATGGAATGCATCATTAACTGAAAAATTAAACATGCATGTACTCTTCAATTTTCCATGTATCCATACTTAGGAGATACCATTGCAATCCCTATCACATCATACTCTTATAGTAGATCAAGTCAATCCAAGACCTTTGAGGAAGAGCCGATAAGGATCTTAGCGAAGGTTGTGAATGAGCTAAGGAACAAAACGATCCCTTTAGTGAAAGTCATGTGGAGAAATCATGAGGTCGAAGAGGCAACTTGGGAAATCAAAGAGGACAAGAAGGTTCAATATCCATATTTTTTTCTACCTATGTAAATTTCAAGAATGAAATTTCTTATTAAGAGGGGAGTTTTAACCCCCTGAATCCCGGCTTAGGAGTTACGGCTTAACCTGAGATGGTTTAAACAAGCCCAAATTACTTTGTAGGAGAGCTTAGTCCATTTATAGTTCAGATTAGGTTTGTTTTTTGGGGCCCAATTGATGTAAAAAATGATATTTTAATTTGAGTATGAAAGTTAAAGGACTAGAAGTGCAATTAACTCATTTTTCAAAACAAAATCTATAAATCCTTAATTAAGGATGATATTACGTTAGTTTCCTTTCTTTTTTTATCCCACCAAACATTCTTCCTTGTCTCTTCTCTTTCTTATTATTCTCCTTTCCAAAGGTTGACCAAAGGTGGAAGCTTTTAGATTTTTAACTCTACTTTGGATTTACAAAGGTAAGAATATTTATCCTCACTTTCAAGATTTAATTTAAGCCCCCAACCACAAGTTTTGGCCATAGAAACCAAAAATGGGTTTTAGAGAGGTTTAAGAAACCAAGTAATTTCCAACCTATTTTTAGTTGATTTAAGTTTTAAAGAGTGTTCTTAACTTTAATCCAAGCTCCTAGATGAGTTAGTAACTCATTTTCTTGCATTTGATTAGTGAAAGAATTGTGAGAGAGCTCCAAGGCTAGATGAAATGAGAAATTGACCTTTGGTTGATTTGATGGCGTTCTCAATAGCTAAGAGACTAAGGTAACACATTTACAACTCTTTCATACCATTGGTGAATCATTAGAATGCATCTAGCTAGAGAGTTTGAGTTGTAAAGCATTCACGGTAGATTCACGAAATTGGTATATTTAGCATGTTTAAAAACCTATTATGATTCATTACTTTATACATAAGACTTTAAGAACACTTGGGAACCTTAGTAGGACACTTAAAGGGGGGTTTAAAAAGGCAAATCAGTTCCCAAACAGGGCATTTCTGTCGGTACTGGATGAACAATACTAATATTATTCATAGGATGGCTTAAAAACAAAGAGTTTAGAAGGACTAGTATCGATACTCTCCAAGTAGCATCGATACTGACGACTAGGTCTCGATACTCATAGGGTAGTATCGATACTAAAAAGTTTATTCGATCGTAGTGCACCATTTTCATATCGATACTCATGGGAGTACCGATACTAAGGGTAGAGTATCGATACTCCTATAAGTAGTATCAATACCAAGGTATTTTTCAAAACATCAAATCAAATTTTGGTATTAATATCTCGAATAGTATCGATACCCTAAATTGGGAGTATTGATACTGGTATAACAGTATTGATATTGCCTACCATATTCAGTGTGTTTAAAGTATAAAGTATCAATACCCTAGGGTGAGAATTGATACCATTAAACATGTTTTAGCATAAAGCCCAAGTGAATTCGAACTCATATTGAGGGGCCCAAGAATACTATAATACTAGAATACTAGAATATCTTCTAATAAAACTATAAGTGAGAATGATTAGTAATGTTCAATTACAGTTTGAAACAATTTCAATTAGGGTGACATAAAAGTAGTCTTGTTTGATGCTCGGGAAAATGGTCAGGACACCCGAGTTACTCTAGTAGATGAAGTCAACAACGAAGTATAGAATGTCTGGGTATCCTTAGGCAGTGCGCAAGGCACTTTGAGACTAACTAGGGCGCGAGGCCTGAACATCCATGAGGGATGGGTTAGTTGGGTGTTGTGTCCAACGTAGAGAAACCAAACCTCATCCTTGGTTGATTATAGGGGTATGTGTCTCGAGATGTGTAACCCTCTAACCACACCATGATGTCTACCCGAGAATAGTTTAAATTATATGAGTATACTCACTCTTTTATTGTACTTGATAGCAGGAGCATTTAACGAGTACTTCTAGTATGGTTTAGTTGTTAGTATGACACTGGGCTAGTGAGTTCATTGTTTGGAATTTAGTTTCGTGTGTAGGTCCTTAGGAGGAGTATTTGATGAGCATATCGCACAAGTGACATTCCAGACAGTCCGAGCTGAAGAGTATGTCTTGAGTCTTTTCTTTAAAGGGCATATATTATTCATAGACCCCTTTTTGTACTTAAGTCGTTACTTTATTTTAAATATTTGGATGTATGATTTTGAGAGATTATTTTGGGAGTTGTTGATGTAAACCTTATTTCAAATTAGGTTGAATTCCTTTATTTGAATGGTATTAATTTTATGATTTCCAAAGTATGTAAACATAATTTTTGGGTTAGCCACTCTGATAGTCTCATGGGCATTCTAACTGGTCAACTTTGTGTCGTATCTATTTAGGGTGTTACACTTAAAGTAAAAATAAAAGTTGAAAGAAAATAAAATAAAACTAGAGAAATTTATAAAATCAAAAGAAAAGTACATCTTCAAGATTACTCAAATGAGTATTTATAGTCTTAAAATATCCTAAAGATTGAACAAATATTAAAAAAAACATCCTAAAAATAATCCAAAAAGATAAATCTAAAACTATTTTCAAATTTAAACTTAAACTTCCTAAGAATAATTATGCTCTACTTTTCATGCACAAATCTTTAGAACCTTATATGAATTAATTGGATGAAACATGAAATCCATGTTTTGCTTTTGTAGGTGAAAAAGGTATTTGAATTTAAACCCAATCAATACTTGTATTGTTTATGGAAATAAGATATACTGTAGTTTAAAGTAAAATAATTTTTTAATAATCAATTGATCTAGGATGAAGTGCTAAATCTATTAAGTAAGGTTATGTGTTTGTAAATAAAACATATTGGGTTGAGAGAATATTTGTCTCTGTAGTATCTGATTCGAATAATTAATTAATAGATTTAAAATTGATGATTATATCAAAAGAGTTGAAAATAATTTTATAATTTTCTAACCAAAAAACAAGTTAAAAATATTTATTTATTCTGTAATGTGATATCAATCCAATCAAATTATTTATTTTAATTTTCTAATGATTCTTTTGTTGGTTAAGAAATATATTTAAAAATGTAAAAAGATATACTAAAATTGATAATTTGAAAAGAAAAAATAATAGTAATAATAAAAGCAGGTGCCCTAAAAAATTAATAGCGTTTATTTATAGACAGACAATGTATAATTTTCATTTCAAGGATAAGCATAGAAAGTTTAAACGGTATGGCGATCCGAAAGCAGCTGATTTTCTCCTTCTTCATCCTCCTCTCTTTCTCCACCGTCGCACTTGCCGTAAGTACCCCTCAACAACCCTGATAATTCCGCCATCATCCCATCTAACTTCTAATTATAATTTTATGTTCAGATACAATTTGTGATGTCTTGATAATCTTAAAAATCGTCACGATATGAGCGATCTGATTATAATTTAAAACCATACATCTCCATCTCTAACCTCTAAATATGTCCGACTGTTTTCTTGTACGCAGGATGAGGAAGACTGCGTTTACTCGATGTACGTCAGAACGGGATCCATCATAAAAGGCGGAACCGACTCCATCATCAGCCTGAAACTCGAAGATCTCAACGGAAACTCCGTCGAGATCAGCAACCTCGAGACTTGGGGCGGGTTAATGGAGCGGGGGTACAACTATTTCGAGAGGGGTAATTTGGACATTTTCTCCGGCAGGGGACGTTGATTGGCCGGCCCTGTATGTTCCATGAACTTAACGTCGGATGGTTCGGGCTCGGGCCATGGATGGTACTGTAACTACGTGGAGGTCACCATGATCGGCGTTCATACGAGTTGTAGCCAGCAGCTGTTCACGGTGGAGCAATGGCTGGCGCTGGACACTTCACCGTACAGCCTCACCGCCGTCAGGAACTACTGTGCCACGGAGTCTCCTGTTGATGGGAAGTCTAGCTCTACCATGTGATCTGAATATGAGGCCTGTGATATGATGATTGTAAAAATAATAATGTCTGATTAGAACGAAGGGTCCAACTTGATTTCGTTTGATCTGCCAGTCTCATCATGTAATGGGAAAGTTTGGTTTCCAACATGTTTTTTTTACTTTTTACCACGTTAATGTAGTCGGTGTTACTGCTCATTCCTACTTTTTTTTACTTTATTTTAAATTACTACTTAAAGTTTTAAATATTTTAATTTCATCCTCAAATTATTATATTCATTTTGAATTGGTATCTAAATTACATGTATACACTAATCACATCCAGCGATGGATTTAAAAAATATTTTTAAGGGTGGACACATACATATTAACAATATAAAATTTTTGAATTAGGTAAGTATAAATAAAATTTTAGGATAGAAACATCAATAAAATGAGTCAATAATCGAAAAAAATCAGATTTTAGGGTGGGAACAATAAAATTTCAATATGAGTACCATCAATAAAATAGGTGATTAATTGAAGAAAATTTAGATTTTAGGGTGAACACATGTTTATCCTCATTCATGAGTGCATTCGCCACTGATCACATATGTTGTAAATAAAATTATTAGGTAAAGTTATATTAATATATGTTTGGGTAAAAACAAAATTTAGGTTATAGTATGATTAAAATTAATACATATTTGGTAAAATGAGATGAAATTGGAAGATTTAAAAGTCTGTGGACTAATTTAGAAAGAGAGTCATAGTGTAGGAATGAAATCAGAATATGTAAAAAACTTAAGGATTAATTTAAAATGAAAATTATAGTTTATAGATAAAATTAGAATATTCACAAATTTAAGAACTAATTTAAAATATAGATTATAATTTGAGGATATATAAATAATTATTTTTTCTAAGTTGGTTGCCACCATTATGTTTCTCAATAAAAACATGGTTCAATGTTTGGTGCTTATCCCAATGTTGATCGATAAATTATTATATTATTTAAACGGGTATCTAAATTAGGTAGAACACAATCATGCTGGACCTGCCTAAAAAACGTGTCTCTCTCTTACCAAAAGAACTTTTCCGTCCTCACTGTTTTCTTTAATATATATTTTATTTTATTTCATTTTGAAAGTTCAAGGTCTTGCAGCCACGCAAATAGGCGATAAGAGACGAGACAGATCGTGAGCTATTCGAGATCGATTTGATTAAGGCTCGATAAATATTAGGATCGAATAGATTCGACTCGAACTTGAGCTCGACTCGAGTTCTTAACGAGCCGAAACGAGCTACTCGAGATTCGACTCGAAAAGTTCGTGAGCAGCTCGAAAATATAATATATTAAGATTTTATTTTTTTAGAAAATAAATTATTAATAATATTAAAATTTATGTATTGATTTATTTTTAAAATTAAGTAAGATTTTTATCTATTTAAGGTTCATGTTCGAGTTTGAAGCTTCAATCGAGTTAAGTTTAAGAATTTTTTTTTCATTTAGAGCCTTTTCGAGCTTATCACGAGCTTCAGTTCAGGATTTTGAGTTCGAGTCGAGCTTGAAAATTTTAAACTCGCGAGTTTTCGAGTCGAGTCGAGCTCTATTTCAGAGTTTTTGAGTCGAGTCAAGCTCAGTAATACTCGAACTCGACTCGGCTCGTTTACACCCCTACACGCAAAGGGGATCATTTAATCAGTAGGAATAATTTTTTTAGATTATTTAAGTTTATAATTCATATTTTATTATTTAAATTTAATTTAAAATATTTTTAAGTTGATTCGAGTTGAGTTGTTTAAGTTTTTAGGCAAATATAATAGTAATTATTTATAGTATTATAGTACGGATCGATTCTATTTTTTTTGAATTTCTCAAACTATATAACATATATATATTTCATATTATTTTTACATTATAATATTATCTAAAATATAAAATATAGTCTAAAATTATAAAATATATTTATAATATTGTATTTAAAAAAATATTTTGAAGGTAAAATATTGATGAGAGTATAAAGGAGTCAATAATGGAGTAAAATGTAAGGTTAAGGGACTAAATTCAAAAAAGTACATTTTAGTAAAACAAAATAAGAATTGAAGCTACGTAATGGTATAGGAGCATGTGGTTCAAATTTGGTTAAAACGACAAAATGAATGATGAATTGAAGGAATAAGGAATTCATAAAAATTAAGGGACTATATTAAAAAATAAAAACTTGTTATCAAAAAGAGTAATTGAAAATACATAGTTATTCTTCGATGATTTAGAGTATATGATTTAAATTTGGTAAAAAATGAACCTAAAATGAAAGAAAAATTGAAGGAATAAAAAAACCAGGGACTAAATTACAAAACTATTAAAGTATTCATATAAAATTTCATTTTTTTTCGAGTGACTCAAAATTTTTAAATTTCAACTCAATTAGAACTCGTAAACTAATCTAATAATTCAAGATAACTCAAAATTAAAAAAAAAATTATTTTTAAGTAGACTCGAGTTTTACTCACTCATATTGTCAAGTGTCGTTGGGCTATCATTGCCCTTCCCTACCCTATAGGCGTTTTTATTTTATAAAACCCCCAAAATTTTTTATTAGCAAAACAACACCCAACCCAAACAACATTAATTAGAAAAATACTCTCCAAACTGCCCACATCACTCTACCTCGCGTTTACACAACAATATTAGGACCTCACGTTACACAACACGTTAGCTATATTCTACATGGATGAACTTTCAGGCCTCTTAATTTAACATTTTTATAAATGACCTCGCGTTTTGTGTAACACGATGTCCCCAAGAATTTAAAACGTCCCTAAGATTTTGAAACATCATATTTAATTATCGTGTGTTTAATGGACGCATACCTCAAGGCCCGTACTGTAATAATAAAAATATCAATCTATTTTATTAACTAGGTAAATTAATCATTATATTTTTATTGCATTATAAAGTATATAATAAAATAACAAAAAAACTCTATTGTAATAAAAATATATAATACTTATTAAAAGTAAAATTCATTCTATTGTAACATCTTACAAAACAAAGTTGCTTCATGGTTCCAAAAACAAGAATCATAACAAGTACAGAGATTGTTCCTTGGTTACCAAACTTGGTCGATTGAAGTACGCGGACTGTTGTTATCAAAATTCCAATCTTCGATTAGTTCTAGAAAGGCAAGGTTGTTACGACTCCACGACATTAAGACTATAAACACATTAATCTCTTAACAACATTAAGTCGACAAACACATTAATCTCCATGACAAACACATTAATCTCCATGACAAACACATTAATCTCCATCCATTTCCAAGTCACAATTCATTTGTTTATATGCATGTTCGAGACATTTTATGGGTTGTAAATTAAAAACTAACGAACATATTTTGTAAATAACTTGCAACAATGTGGCGTAAACAACTTCAAATAATATCTGAAGCTATTGAGGCACTTATCATTGCATCTCTTAGCATGCAGAAGAAGAAGAAGAATATACCACTAAAAGAGGACGCCTTGTATAAACGGATACGAACACGCTAGTGAAATTAACGTCACAAGTGAGAAAAACTTCGTCTTATACTTGTGTTCTTGGTATCACCGGTACAAAATGCAATGAAAAAGCTCAACATACAGATACCAACATAGTAGAAATACTCGAAGGGTGTTTGCTTGATCCGAATTGATGGAACCAGAAGTTTCTCAAGAAGTTGAAGAGAAGAAGATACCACCAGAGGATATCTTTTATAAAAAAAGTTTTTCAAGAAGGGATAAATATGAAGGAATAAGAAGGTTTTAGACAATGTCATGTTTGAAAGAACAAGAGGAATTTAAATAGGCAAAAACATCGCGTCGTTCTGCAGAGATTCTTCTGGATGTGATGTAGCAATGAACTTGTGCCTTGCATAACATGAGGTATGTGCTATTTCACGTCAAATCAATAGTATACGTTGGTTGCTGCCACGTCAGGAATCTCTCAGGAACTCATGTCCTACATAACGCGAGGTTCATGCCACATCACATCAATTACGAATATTTATAGATCCATGTCCCTACCATGTCAAGTTAAGAATATCTGTAGATCTCATTTATTAAAGAACGCGACTTCCATTCAAATTCTAATTTTAAGTAAGTGAAGGCAAACAAACAAACCATATAAAATTAAAGGCAAACAGACTATAGAATGCAAGTACAAAAAAGTGATCTACAACTTTTTAATAGTAAGTTTATGTGACATTTCTCAATTATTATATAGTTTGAAGTCATTACAATCTCTAATGTTTTCTCTTCTCTATGCATGATTGTAGATATTTTCAAAATATGTCGAGAATAAGTATTACTACTTTGGTATACTATGATGGTGAAATGATCACTGATGTTTCTCTCGACATCTTCTTTCAATCTACACATAATGTGACAATAACATTGTCGAGGAAATTAACATATATGAAGTTGATGAAGGAAGTGAAGAACAATGTTCCACATAGTCGTAAAAAAACTTGAATCGTTAAAGTATCGACTATCAATGTTGTTGGAACCATTAACCTACTCAATATACAATGTTGAGGATGATGGTGATGTGGACATGATGGTCGATTCCCACTTGCAGTATTCATTAGAAGAGGCCTTTGAGTTATATATAATTTTTTCTAATGATAATGATTCTACCAGTGTCCCGAGAGATGAACAAATTTTGACTTGGATTCTAATTTCAATATGACAGCTAATTTAGGAAATGACTTCAACTTATTAAGTATACAAAGTACACGAAATGACTTGAGTGCATCATCACCTTCGATGCCAAGGCATTCTTACATAGCTAGCTTTGAATTTGACCTAAGTATACACGGTATTTGTGTGGAATGTCATCTTCTCAGCAAGACATTAAGTGGCAAGACCATGAAGCTTTTAACTCGTTCGATGATTTCTCATCTAGACGATATTCTTGAATCATTAAAGTATTGACTATCGATGTTGTTGGAACCATTAACCTACTCAATATACAATGTTGAGGATGATGGTGATGTGGACATGATGGTCGATTCCCACTTGCAGTATTCATTAGAAGAGGCCTTTGAGTTATATGCAATTTTTTCTAATGAGAATGATTCTACCAGTGTCCCGAATTAGAGATGAATAAATTTTGACTTGGATTTTAATGTTCACAATCTGAAAGCTAATTTAGGTAATGACTTCAACTTATTAAG